CTTTCCCTAGCTCCTGTAAGGAGGTGGTGGTGACATCTCTCCTGAAAGAAACATCATTAGATGAGAGGGACCTAGCCAATTACCAACTGGTGTCAAACCTTCCATTCCTGGGGAAGGTGATGGACCGAGCAGTGGCCAAGCAGCTGCAGGATTTCCTGGATGAAACATCAACCCCTAGATCCCTTTCAATCCAGTTTCAGGCTGGGGCTCGGCACTGAGACAGCCCTGGTAGGCTTGGCTGACGACCTCCGATTACATTTTGACAAAGGTGGGCCAGCACTTTTGATCCTTTTGGATCTGTCAGCTGCCTTTGACACAGTTGACCATTTAGTCCTGGTCGACCTGTTTGACCACCTAGCCTCCCAGGGAATGAGGGGCGCTTCTCCTTGCTCCTCCAGGGATGCTCACAGAGGGTTGCAGGCTCTAACCCATGGGGTCCTGCAAGGGTCGATCCTCTCCCCAATGTTGTTTAACATCTATATGTGGAGATTGTCAGGAGGTTTGGAGTTGGGGGCTACCAATATGCAGATGACACCCAGCTACTGCTTGGAAAGCAGCCAGCTGCCAGGATCTTGGCCCTGGCTTTGTGCCTGGATGCCATGATGGGTTGGTTAGGTGAGAGCTGGCTAAAGTTATATCCTTCAGAAACTGAGATAAGAACATAAGAACATAAGAGACACCAATGTTGGATCAGGCCAAAGGCCCATCTAGTCCAACACTTTGTATCGCACAGTGGCCAGAAATACCAGTGCCATCAGGAGGTCCACCAGTGGGGCCAGGACATTAGAAGCCCTCCCACTGTTGATCCCCCCCCAAAGCACCAAGAAGACAGAGCATCACTTGCCCCAGAGTCCCTATCTATACCATGTGGCTAATAGCCACTGATGGACCTCTGCTCCATATGCTTATCCAATTCCCTTTTGAAGCCGTCCATGCTTGTAGCACCCACCACTTCCTGTGGCAGTGAATTCCATGTGTGAATCACTCTTTGGGTGAAGAAGTACTTCCTCTTATCCGTTCTAGCCCGACCGCTCAGCAATTTCATGGAGTGCCCACGAGTTCTTGTATTGTGAGAAAGGGGGAAAAGTACCTCTTTCTCTACCTGCTCTTTCCCATGCATAATCTTATAAACCTCAATCATGTCACCCCTCAGTCGTCGTTTCTCCAAGCTAAAGAGCTAAAGATCATGCGGTGGGGTAGGTCCAGGGTTCACCTGCACTGGCCAGAGTCCAGCTCTCTGCAGTGGGCTCTGCTAGGAGCTTAGGGGTGTGGCTCGATTCTTCCCTTACTCTGGACAAACATACGTCCAGGGTGGTGAAGACGTAATCGCGTCGGTAGTGATGTAATCGCATCGGGCACGTTGGGGGCGGGGCCACAATAACCCGAGGGGAAACCATAGAGTTTTCCCTCGGGTGATAGAACGTCCCCCTGCAACGTGCCCGACGCGATTGCATCACCTCCGGGTGACGTGTTCACGCCGGGCACGTCACGCACTTTGGGGGTGAGGTCCCCCCCGGCGGGGAACAGGCCTCTCGGGTGGGGGTTTCCCTGCCCCCCCGGGGGGACTTGGCAACTCTACTGTCGCCTGGAGATCAGTTGTAATCCCAGGAGCTCTCCAGCCACTACCTGGAGGTTGGCAACCTGAGGAGGAGGAGCTGCCCCGCCCCCACCTCATGAGCCACAAGGGGGATGAACAGCAGGTCTGCAGGTGGCTGGGCCAGCCAGCAAAAGGCTGGCCCAGCAGCTGAGCAGGGTGGAAGGATGGGATCCAGTTTGGTGCAGTGGTTAAGTGCGCGGACTCTAATCGGGGAGAACCGGGTCTGATTCCCCACTCGTCCACCTGCAGTTGCTGGCGTGGCCTTGGGTCAGTCACAAGTTCTCTCAGAGCTGTTCTCTCAAGAGCAGTTTCTGTCAGAGCTCTCTCAGCCCCGCCTACCTCACAGGGTGTCTGTTGTGAGGAGGGGAAGGGAAAGGAGATTGTAAGCCGCTCTGAGACTCCGAGTGAACAGCAGGGGATAAATCCAATCTCCTCTTCTTCTTCTTCTTCCTACAAGTCTTATGGGTCCCCACTTGTAATAATAATGATGTCAGTGTTGGAAAGGGGCTGCCCCTATGTTTTGCATGAGGTATCGTTTCTGATGCTTTAGAACCCTTAAGGGTTTTGGGAGGAATCCACCTTTCAGCCCCAATTTAAACATCAGGCTGAGGAGCTCCCCCCAAACCCCCCCTCTGGTGCAAAATTGCAGAGTATGTAGTATTTTAAAGCAACGTTATAAACACTGGACATATGCTACAGGCTAAAAAGTAAAACTCATTCATCCATAGCTTTGTCTCTAAGGAAGTTAAGAACAGGATTTAGAAGTGTACAGTTTTCATAGGTATGCAAGTACAGAATGCATGCTTGCATTCCCAGAGCTCGATTTAAATATGCTGCCATCTGTCACCGAGCCTCATTCTTCTCCCCCCTCCCCCTTTTCGGAAAGAGTCAAGTCCAAACAAGAATGCAGCAGCCGTCTCTGTCTTCCTGACAGGACCCTCCCTATAGGAAGAGTCCCCAAGGCTGGCTGATCATAGAATCATAGAGTTGGAAGGGACCTCCAGGGTCATCTAGTCCAACCCCCTGCACAACGCAGGGAATTCACAACTACCTCCCCTCCACACACAAAGTGATCCCTGTTCCATGCCCAGAAGATGACAAAAAAAAACCCCTCCAGGATCCCTGGCCAAACTAGCTTGGAGAAAAAAATGCTTCCTGAACCCAAAGTGGCGATCAGCATTTTCCTGGGCGTGTAAAAAAGGGCCACAAGAACTAAGCACTGATGCAACCCTCCCTACCTTCCCTCTCATGATCTGCCTAAGTTCACGGAGCAAGCAGCGTGGAGGAGGGCAATTGAAAAGTTCTGTGGGGGATCCCCCCAGGACTTTCCAACACTGCTTCCTACACCCGAATAATCTTTTCCAAGGTCACCGACGAATTGCTTTCTCAGGAGTAACGCACAGAGAAAAGGGAGTGCCCAATTAACACAGGAATGAGCAAACAGCTTTCCGCCTGTATAACGATCATTAGTATTTAATACCATGGATACACAGGCACAAACCATTTGGGGTTATACCATTTGTCTTCCAGAGATGGGTCCCAGCACCTGAAGTTTGCAGAGCGTAGAAATAGAAGAGATTCACAGCAAACTCACTCTTCCTGAAGCGGCAGAGAACGGCAAAATTAAGAAACATGCGCTACTTCTATCCCCACGCTAGATTAAAAAATGAACAATCGCACCATCTACCTGGCATCTAAAATCCTGCCGGCTGCCCTGCTACGAGGAAGAGCAACAAGCTTGCCTGTACGGAGTGAATCAACGTTTGTCCTTCAAGGGATCGATAAGAATTGCAGCATGCCTCGCTCTAACAGAAACGTCTTTTTTTTTTTTTTGTATTTTTAGACCAATGCAACTGGCTAAAATTTGCAACATCCCAGGAGCTAACTCTGGGACCATCCTAAAGCTCCTTAATTCCTGTCTTCATCTTGCAATGAGAATAACCTGGCCGGATGCCCTTGAAGCTGCCCTTTACCCACATTTCTGCAGGCAGACGGGAAAGCCCGCATCTGTATTTTAAAGCCGCTGTTTAACTGGCGCATAAACCCCAGCATGCTAACAAGACAAAGGTTTGGAAAACGAGCTGAGTCAAATTAACGAAGTTCTCCAACTACAATGGGCAGATGCCGCTTGCATATGTTCCAAATAGGAAGTCACACACACACACACACAAATACACATGCATACCATCCATGCTCACTTATTTGGCATCCCGAAGAATCGGCACTGCCGAACCGAAAACGCACATGTCAGAAAACTGCACAAAGCCCCCCGCTGAGACTCCCGAGTGGCCTTGGAACAGGTACTTACAGCATTTGATGAAATGATAATGAGACATTCTCTCATCTTAGGCGGATGTCTTGTCCCTAGTTCCAACGTCTCCTTCGGCTATCGCGGTTGAGACCCAGAAATGCATTATTTAGAGCCTTTCCCTCAGGTATCCAGTTCAACCCTGAAATATATTATTCATCGCAGTGTGTCTGCTCCAAGATCTTGCACAGTTCCCCAAGTCATGCTTCCCCCCCCCCAACCCTGCCGGCTGCTGACCATTCAGGTGAGCCGCTGCATGTCTTGAGCCATGACTCTGCCACCCGTCACTGTCGCATCTTCTTGACTGGCAGGCTTCCTTAATCCCACGTCCCCCCAAGAAGAGCTGGAATTAATCGGCCTGCCTTTGAAGCCACATGTCTCCAGCACCGAGCTGGGCTGCTGCAGTGCGGCTCTCTCTCGCAGCCCTGCTCGTTAATGGCTTAGCAATCGTGCGCAAAGGGGAGCCCCTGCGAGGGTCTGTGCAACCGAAACGTGGCTGGATTCTTTGCTGCTGCGGAAAAGGCCTTATTTTTAGCTGCCACCAGATGCTGCGTGAATGGGGAACTGATCTCACTTGCCAAAAATAGCCACTTTTCAGCACAGCGGCGGGTGTGAAGGTGACAAGTCGCAGTTGGCTCCTGGTCTTTTGTGCTTGCCGGGCTCGGATCGGAGCTTGTTTGACGTGGGGGGAGTGAAGGGGGAGAAGGGGGGGAGTCACCATAGAGGGGTGATGCTTGCATTCAGGCAACCGCCCTGTCCTTTGAGGCTTCTCTGAGGCTTTAACTGAGCCACAGGCTTTGTTAGTGGGATGGGTCAGGAGGAACGGCAGGTGGCATGGGCACTGTTAAAGAATGCCTTTCTCTTGGACTTCAAGGACCGAAATGTTCTTCAGTTTCAATTTCCTTCTTCAGTTTCCTTCTAATGATTAGCACATGGCTAAGCCAAGTGGTGGAGGAGCTGCAGTGGCTCAAGTGGTTAAGACGCTGAACGGCAGGCTTTGGAAGGTCGGTAGTTCAGCAGTTCGAGACCTGAGTTGCCGCATGATGGAGTGAGCTCCCGTCTCTAGTTCCAGCTCCTGCCAACCTAGCAGTTCGAAAGCAAGAAATTGCAAGTAGATAAATAGGTACCACTACAGTGGGAAGGGAACAGCGTTCCGTGCGCCTCAGTGTTTAGTCATGCCGGCCACATGACCACAGAAACGTCTTCTGACAGCGCGGGTTCAATTTCCTTCTTCAGTTTCCTTCTAATTATTAGCACATGGCTAAGCCAAGTGGTCCATCCTCTCTTACCTCACTCCAGTCGATACTGATCCTCGACTGGCTTTCGAGCAAGGGAACCTCTACCTTTACCTTTAAGCCAAGTGGTCCATCCTCTTACCTCACTCCAGTCGATACTGATCCGTGCAGAATGGACGTGCAGCCAAGAAACACCACGGGGCAATGGCACCAGAGTTCTTTGGCAAGAGTCCTAAATCCTGGTCGGCTCTCCATGAAGGGGTTCCAAAAACCCCAGAGATTGTAAATTAGGCCACAGATTAACTTCTACTCCATGCAAGCAGTAAACTTGTTAGCCGCCCTGAGACACTATGTGTAGGGCGGGATACAAGTCTCAAAGATAAATAGATAAATAAATAAATAAACAAACAAACAAACTCAGGGTACATTCTTCACCTATTCCACTTCCTTACAAATTAGGCTCCTTGAGCATACGCCCTGGGTTTCAGCTTAACAATGGACACAGGGAATGAGGCCAGGGAAAAAATTCAACAGGTAAGAACATGCCCTACTGGATCAGCCCAGTGGTCCATCCAGTCCAGCATCCTGTCTCACACAGTGGCCAGCCAGTTTCTCTTAGGGTTGCCAGACCCTCAGCTGTCCATCAGGGGGACTTACGAGGAGAAAGGAGAAGGTGCAGAATGGACGTGCAACCAAGAAACACCACGGGGCAATGGCACCGGAGTTCTTTGGCAAGAGTCCTAAATCCTGGTCGGCTCTCCATGAAGGGGTTCCAAAAACCCCAGAGATTGTAAATTAGGCCACAGATTAACTTCTACTCCATGCAAGCAGTAAACTCAGGGTACATTCTTCACCTATTCCACTTCCTTACAAATTAGGCTCCTTGAGCATACGCCCTGGGTTTCAGCTTAACAATGGACACAGGGAATGAGGCCAGGAAAAAAATTCAACAGGTAAGAACATGCCCTACTGGATCAGCCCAGTGGTCCATCCAGTCCAGCATCCTGTCTCACACAGTGGCCAGCCAGTTTCTCTTAGGGTTGCCAGACCCTCAGCTGTCCATCAGGGGGACTTACGAGGAGAAAGGAGAAGGTCTAGGCCTTGTCACAGGCAGCGCACAGGGTGACGCTCTGGCATTTGGGCAAAAGTTGGTTTTACCACAGAGTTTTTGCTGAAATACCAAATGCCTGGGCGTCATTGGCATGATGACATCACTTCCTGTGCAATGATGGCAACAAGGCCTAGGTCTTTCTCTTTCTCCTTGTATGTTTCCGCATCCCCCATTGGTTGCCAGGAGGGACCTAGCAACCCTAGTTCCTCTGGAGGGCCAACAACAGGGCATAGAGGCCGAGACCCCCTGATGTTGCCTCTTGGCACTGGGATTCAGAGGTTTAGTGCCTCTGAATATGGAGTCACTATATCTAGTAGGCACTGATAGACTTATCCTCCATAAATCTCTCTAATCCCCTTTTGAAGCTGTTTATTCCTGTGGCCATCGCTACATCCTCTGACAGCAAATTCCACATTTTATCACTCTCTAAGTGAAGAAGTGTTTCCTTTTGCCAGTTTGGTGTAGTAGTTAAGTGCCAGTTTGGTGTAGTGGTTAAGTGTAGTGGTTAAGTTAAGCGCCAGTTTGGTGTAGTGGTTAAGTGCGTGGACTCTAATCTGGGAGAACCGGGTTCGATTCCCCACTCCTCCGCTTGCACCTGGCTGGATGACCTTGGGCAAGCCGTAGCTCTGATAAGAGCTGTTCTTGAAAAAGAGCAGTTTCTGTCAAGAGCTCTCTCAGCCCCACCTACCTCACAGGGTGTCTGTTGTGGGGAGGGGAAGGGAAAGGAGTTTGTAAGCCGCTCTGAGACTCCGAGTGAATGGCAGGGTATAAATCCAATCTCCTCCTCCTCTTCTTCTTCTTCTTTTGTTTGTCCCAAATCCACTGCCTATTAGCTTCATCGGATGCCCTTGAGTTCTAGTATTTTGGGAGAAAAAAACTCTCTTTCTCAACTCTCTTCACCTCATGACTAATTTTATAAAAGCCTATCATGTTCCCCCTTAGTCGTCTCTTTTCTAAACCGAAAAGTCCCAGACTCTTCAGGTGGCGCATTCCCAAACATCTGCCATAGACACACCTAAGGAATTTCTACCTGACGTATCCACACCTCATGATGAAGAGTCCCAGTGGGCTCAAAAGCTCACACAGTGATTTGTGCTACTTTGGTTGGTCTAGTAAAAGGTGTGACATGGATTTTGTTCTTGCTTTGAGGGGATTTTGGATGGATCAGTAGGGTTGTACAATAATGACAACACAGCAATAAGTGGTGATGGAGTGAGCTTAGTAATTCTGGGGCCCTGGGCACACTCCAGCATGGGGGTTCCTATCCTCTGCATCTTCTCTAAGGGCAGGGCTATTATTGGGCAGGAACGCACAGGAACGGAGTTCCGGCTGGCTCCCGAGTTGGCCACGCCCAGCAGGAACTCATTAGCATTATAGGGCACACCCAACAGCAGGAACTCATTCAGATTGGCTACAGTTAGGGGTGTGTGGCCTAACATGCAAAAAGCCCTGGGTTTTGACAACAAACAAGGTAAAGAGAATAAGAAGCAAAAGGTGAGTGTGGCTGGATTACCACACTTCTGGTAACATGGGGGTGTGGCCTAATATGCGAATGAGCTGTGCTGTCAGGGTGTGGCCTAATAGGCTAATGAGTTCCTGCTGTTGGGTATGGCCTATTATGCTAATGAGTTCCTGCTGGGCTTTTTCTACAAAAAAAAGCCCTGTCTAAGGGCTTTAACTGAACCACATTTCCTTTTGTTTGTCCTGAATCCACTGCTTGTTAGCTTCATCGGATGCCCTTGGGTTCTAATATTTTGGGAGAACAATTTCTCTTTCTCCACTCTCTCCACCTCATGGCTCATTTTATAAACCTCTATTATGTTCCCCCCTTAGTTGTCTCTTTTCTAAACCGAAAAGTCCCAGACTCTTCAGATGTCACATTCCCGAACAGCACGGCCAAGCAAGGAGTGGCCCTCACCCCATGCAAGGTGGATGGGAACCCCTGCAAGCCAGCTGCCCAAGCTCCCAGAAGAAGCAAGTACAAGCCATGGCAGGAGCCAATCTGGTGTAGTGGTTAAGTGCATGGATTCTAATCTGGGAGAACTGGGTTTGATTCCCCACTCCTCCACTTGCACCTGGCTGGATGACCTTGGGCAAGCCATAGTTCTGTCAGAGCTGTTCAAAAAAAAAAAGAGCAGTTCCTGTCAGAGCTCTCTCAGCCCCACCTACCTCAAAGGGTGTCTGTTGTGGGGAGGGGGAGGGAAAGGAGTTTGTCAGCCGCTCTGAGACTCCTTTGGGTAGTGAAGGGTGGGGGATAAATCCAATCTCTTCTTCTTCATCTTCTTCTCCCCCTCCTTCAAAGGGGCCGGGCTGTGGGCAGTCACCCCTCCACAAGCACAGGGCCCAGGGCAGCTTCCCCTGTTGGCCATCGGCTAAGACCGGCCTAAGTGATGCGCTCAAGACTCCATAGTGTATCCATGGCAGACTACCTCTTCATACCGCTTTCTCCCCATTTCACAGACGCGAGCCAAACCCAGCAGACACTGGACACACTATCAGCGTATTCACAGATCTGTGTAACAAATTTAGAGTCCAGCGATCACTGGACTCTAAATTTGTTCTACTGCTTCAGACCAACATGGCTGACCACTTTGAACTATCTACACAGATCTCTCTGTGTGTATATAAAGTGCCATCAAGTCACAGCTGATCTGTTGTGTATTGAGCCAGAATCTTCACTGAGCTAGTACCTGGATGTGGTTGAGCTTCTTTCCCCCGAACAATAGCTTATTAGGATCCTGGAGTAGACCAACAGAGAAACAATGTTATGTAAATAGCCTATGGTTGGGAGTGGGGTGTGGTGATTGCATGCTTAAAAACAGGGCAGCTGCCCTGGAGTTTGTCTTGTAGTGTTCCTGAAGTCACTTAATACAGTACAGCTGTTCACTGTAATGTGCCTTGAACCCAGTATTTAACATGATCTTTGCCCTGAATAATAGGCTGGTGTGCATCTTCTTCTTATCTTACTGTTTTTCTAAGTCAAAGGTCTTGAACAGATCGAAATCCAGCCTTCTTACAGACGACCACCGCAGCTAAATATTTAGCAACTGCGAAGGTAGTTTTCTGATCCTCGTCT